AGGTATGGTAAAATGGAATCTCAATGTTCATCGTATCTTTCTGATTATAAAACCTCGTATATTCAACAATAATTCGACAAAAATGATGCATTCAACCTTTCCGTATAAACATCTTAGCTTTAAATATGTAATGTCAGCGACGTCCAAGGTAAAATTACAGCTGTCAGGAAACACACGATGACTCAGAATACACACGTACCTGTTGCCATTAGTCATGTTGGTGTTCCAGGTTAAGCTTATTGCGGGAAGGGCCTAACATTAAAATAACCGGTCCTCAACTGACAAAAATCTTAAGTGTTGGAAATGAAATTAATGTCAAGAAACAGAAGGAGATGACCATTAAACCTAAAAATCAGAAACTCTATTTTTTATGATATCGACATGATGTCGTGTACATGTCTTAATTTTGAACAGTGTCACTATTAAAATGAAGTAAAATGTGACTTTCATTAACACATAGTCTTATTTTTACGGTATAAAATAAAACAAAAAGCAGCATATCAACAGAGCCTCATCTCAAATTAAAAAAAAACAAGTAAACAAGGACTACATATCTACATATGACCAAAATAAAAATTTATACAGAGACAAAAAAATGAGAGGAAAAAATACAGAGCGGATAAGACCAAATATTCTGAAAGGGAGAGGGGGGGGGGGCTATTTTACTTCCTCAATGGCACCTGCAATGTCAGTCGTTCTTAATCCGAGTAAGTAAAGTCACGTTCTCAAATGAATAAAATGATTCACAAGAAGGTTATTTTATATATATATATAGGTAATTTAGTAAATCAATGTGATATAATCTGTACTGGGCAGCAGGCAGATACTACAAAAGCACTCGCCGTCCTAGCAAATACATATATTTCTAAGAATGAGTACATGGACGTGTGTTGAACATTTACTATTGTATTAAAACATTCATATAAAGATATGCTTGACAACAGAATTCGATCATAGTATAATATATACAGGTATCGACCTGTTTTCAATTGAGTATGACCATTAAACCACCCGATAAAGCGATGCAGCCCAAGGCCTAACATCGATAGAAATATTTTCGATTTATAATAAATCAAATTATCGCATGACTGTATTTTTCTCGATTTACTTGTATACTTATTCTGTACCGCCCTAACTTGTTCATTCATGCTCAAAAACAAAAGATAACAGGCTCTTATCTAAATATAGTAACAAGGGACTTCCCCATATTCAGTGATATCAAGCAGATCTCCGCTGATATATAAAGGTTAGATGGTAATAAGGCAAATATTTCCCTTTAAACATTGAATTGATTTAAACGGTTACGTTACAAAAGTTGTCAGCTTCATCCATGACAGCTATGAACATGGTTCGATCGCATCTGATTATATGGATGAGGCAAATTTTCAGCTTGTGACGAAACTTTGGCCGTATTGCAACAAAACACTCCTGATTCCCAGAATGCATTCTCCTCCCCAGGTAACACCGGGTCCTTGGTTTTGACTTCCGATGAGCCAACCAATTGCGTCCATATAGAAACACATCATTTAGTATTCTAATTTCTTTTCCTTTGGATTCTTCTCCATGTGCTTTTTGGCTACACCGTCTGACGTTAAAGCAGAGCCAGATCGTGTTGAATTTCTCGCCGCTCGAGTTCCAGTAGTATATATTGAAAATGACGATAAAAACTGCGTTAGATTTAAATTTTCCAGTTGCGTCAAACTAAAATATTTTCAACTTCCGTCTTTAAATATCATAAAAATATCCGCTCGAGGTGTTTAAATCTTTTTCCATGTTGTATGAAGTCCGTTACAAGCTGAACATTTGTCTCATCAAAATAATCAGATATGTTACCTGCTGAAAGATAACAGTAACCGATAAGCTGACTTGAAAATAGGCAATTCCCGTCAAATCAATCCCCCTCCCTCAATTTTCATTTTTTCAATTATCCTATCATATTTTTACAACTTCCAGCTGATAAATTATGTGACGTAAAAATCGTTTAGGTGTATGAAGGCAAATGTTCTTGCTTTTGAAAGGGGTTCCGCGTCGCCCTTTTCAACATCACGAACATTTATCTTAATACAGCTTAACCTTCACTTTTATTCCAACCAATCATAGTCGAGGAACTCCAGCCACAGGAATAAGCTTGCGTGCTAAAATCGCCATCTAAAGCAACTTTACATTTCTAGTTCGTATTTAAATATAATAACGACGGACTTCCCCGTTTTCCATGACGTCTGAACAGGTCGCGGGGTTGTTTTAGAAACACAAGATTTCATCTGATCTAGAATAAGACAAACTCCTGTGAATTCATATTTTGTCCTCTGTACAATACAGCTAAACTTCGTTATCTCGAGCTTGTATAACTAGAAGACCCCATTTAATTCGAAGCATTTCGTCGGTCCCTACCTAACTTTAAACAATCATTCGAACTCACTTCAATCTAATACTCCGTTATCTCGAAGTTTTCCAATAGTCTCGTCGAGATAACGAGGTTTTTTATATCTCTACCATGTTTACATACCACATCACATTATACACTTGAGAATATTAACACTCTATACGTCACGTGCTTCATGGTCCATTCATTTTACACATTTTGCAATGGTTGACACCAGATGAACATTTCAATTATGTTCAGTTTTTGTTGCATTTTGTTGAAAATGAATGAAAGTGTTTTTTTTTTTTATTATTTATTTATTTATTGGAATAGCTAACCATTAAAACTCAAACCCTCAGACTTACTTACAGTGATTGGGGATACTTATTGGTGATTTCAAAGAAAGTAATTCTGTATTGTTACCGTTCACAAAGCAGAAACTTATGGACGGACTGGCAATGGCCCTAGTAATGCTGTTGGAAGAAACGTGACTGGTCATTCTATAAATTAACATATGTCTGGGCTAATGTGTGTTACTATGGATTGCGACGAAAAACATTAAAGGATCACATAATTACCCGTAGTGTAGCAATAACAGTTTGGAACGAATAAATGAAAAGGTTATCAGTATATAGCGGGACAGGATTACACCCTCCCAACCTGACTAACAAAAATAAATTCATTTAATTTTCATAACTCAGATTATTAATAGATTACTCGGAATCCGGATATATAAAAGCTTTACTAGAAGGATTATGAAATTTTATTAGAAGTGATATGAAAATCATGAATCATTGTTTAGTTGTAAAAAAACGTCAGATAGCACTGAGGTGCTAAAATGAGAAGCTTTTGTTATAGTTTAAACGAGTAAATGCAGACTTGAAGATATTATTTAGCAGCTGAGTAAGAAAATTCGAAAATGATACGGAACGAAATATTTGTGTATCAGATATACGTATTTCATTTGATATTTACGTATTTGTAAAACAGGCTGCACGATCCAAAGGTCAGATATGTGAAGTGAAATACAAATGCTTATTTCAAAACTGACAACAACAATGAGTTTAAAATCTGTTTTTAATATAATTTTTCGTATACTTAACATAAAGCATACAACAGCAGCCTAGTAATGAAATTTATCTCATGTACAACAAGTTATGGAAAACAAACAGCAGGAACATTCCACAGAAATAATGTATTGATACAAGTAACAAGTATCGATTAGAATAAATATATTTGTTATGTGTAACACCAAGTTCACATGTCGACTGAATTTCATCACTTTCTTTATCATAATATTGAACAAGAATTTTCTTGTGTTTAAAATACATAATTGTCACTGATATTATTTTCGGGTAACAAAGTAATCAAATTATGGATTAACTATAAATAATAATTTAAATGATAGAAAATAGTTTGGTTTACAGTAGAAAAATACATTGTCATGAAATTTGCTAACTTAATGTTGTGGATCAAAGTTGTCTTCCTTTATACAGAATGTGATGTAGTTGTATCGTACAAGGCAAAAAGTATTTCTGGCTACTAAATTAAAATCTATTTCAACCTTTTTTTACATTCATAATGGTCTAACAATAGAAGATAAGTAATATTCGTAGGGAATTTAATTTCGCGATACTCGTTTTCATTAAAAATAATGCGAAATTAAGTACCCAGCGAACGTTTTTCAGAGCATCAACATTTCTGAAAATATATGCCTTCACAAATGCATAGACGTGCTCGAAATCTACTCAATTTGAACAAACCGAAATCGGCACAACCGCGAAATATTCGCTTCGCGAAATTTTATAACACGTCACTAATCAGGGCTGCGCTTTATCTAAGTAAGCAGATAAGTATCATTTACGAGAACATGCTGGTCAATATAAATGACAGAACTTTGCAGGCGTGCATTATCGCTTGCGCAAGATCAACATAGTATCTTTGTCTGCAAAAGTCTGGCATTTATAACAACTATGAATGTCATAACAAGACAGTTCGATACTTGCATTCACATTCAAATAAAACTTAACTGAATTATACATTATCTAAAAAGAAATCCGTCAAGTGGAAAAGTTGTTCTGACGGGGGACCGTCGAGGTTTCAAGGGCAACTAGCTTGACGTCGGAATCTTCACGTACTTTACGTCATTAAATGATCTAAAGTACTGGGTTTTTTCAATTACAATGTACTTTTTTTCGTTTCCTCTTATTTCACAGGTTGAAGGGACGTTTAGATATAACAAGATACATAGGGTGTCCTTGATCAAACAGAATCAGCTCCCTTTGTCCCGCGAGTATCTTGTCTCACACTCCTTATACGACTATCAATGATATCTGACTTTTTAATTATCATATTATTTGTTTTCGGTATTTCTTTGACTTTCACCAGATACATATGTATCCATTTGATGTATTTCTGCAACATTAACATACATGTATTTTTTTTCTCAGAAAAAATTCTTAGGCCCAAAATCAGTCACTTATTTGTCGCAGCTGATTAATCAATAAGCAAAATGATATATAGTAAGAAACATGTCTTATGAATTACCTACTGAAAAGACACGTTCGAAGTAAGTGATTCGTCAGTTAAATTACAAACTACACAATTTATAAAAAAAATATCTTTGTATAAGTTTCTATTCCACATGAAATCAGAAATATTCATTTTTAACATAAAAAAGGCACGTATAAGTAAAAAATGCAATAAATAGATATTAAATAGTACTTATAGCAAAATATACTTCATAGGCGAAAGACAAAAGCATGAATTCATACGCAAAACAACGAATTCATATGCAAAACCATGATATTCATAAACCAAAGTATGAATTCATATGAAAAACTATGGGTTCATACACAAAACTATGAGTTCATGCGCTAAACATCGAGTCCATGGGTTCCTAAAAACGAACTGCTTTTCGTCACAGTCGAACATAGCAAAAATATATATGGCAGATGTAGTACAACAATGGCAAGATGAGTTGTCTCTACATCTGGCTTAACTAAGATAAGTTGTATATTTTCTTCTGCCCTTCCTTAGAATAGAGACAAAAATCCAAGTTCTAAAATCAGTGTAATTGAAATGCATCATGTAAACTATGCATCAGGCGAATGAACATCTCCAAGCCAAGACGTATGTAAACAGGTATGATCATAAACAAGACAGAACAAAGTATACAAGCAGTAAGACATGGGAATCAAAACAAAAATATTTTTAAACCATTAATCAAAAGAATCTCCAAACATTCTATTTGACACAATGTTGTTTTCATTCATGATGATAACAGAGATTTCAGTAATTGTCCACGTGACGTTTTAGTCAATTATATGACTAGTGATGTCACTTTTGAAGGCTTCGAGATCCTGAACGCCCGAAGAAGAAAGACCTATTTCTTTACAATGATACAGAATGCGATATTTTTCAATGGATTAGTGAGTTAGAGCTATTACCTTTATATCTATATATTATGTAACCAGCGAGATGTGGATGTACATATATCAAACATCTTTACGATTTTTCTTCTTTCATGATATCATGAAAGTTCATTGATGGAGTAATATGGTTTCGTCAAAGACCGGATGTACAATCACTAGCAATATATATATAGAAAAGACACACAAGAAAACTGTACCATTAGATAGAGATACAGAAAGACTACTTAATGAATTAAGTTACTTCACTCTGCTGTTTCGCTCTAATAGAATTCGTTAGTGATACTTGAGACTCAAAGTTATGTATTTTGGAACATGAAACATGACAAAGGCATGAAAATTATCTAAATAAATGGCATTGTACAGAAGGGAAGTTGTGCAGTAATCACATAATTGAATAATATTTATAATTTTCAATTCTTGGATAATTTCAAATGACCGTCCAAGACATTGCATATTTTCAAACATGCCACTATTCAAATCAATCTAAACATAACATGCATATTAACAAACCACAGTGAAAAATCTAAAATAACTTTTTTTTATCAACATTCATAAAAGCATTGATAATGCCGGCGAAAGGTTTTGAACGTAGATTCTATAAATCAGCTATGACCATTATAACGACAGTTATTACAACTCCAAAGAATATCATAAAACAGAGAATATAAATCCCCTTCTCTACACCAATTCCATTTGTAGAGGCATGTATCTGCAATAAAAACAAAAGGTGACGCTGTATTTTTGCAAAAATGATTTACATATCTATTCAGGGTAAATGGTATACCAAATCAAAACATTTTCACAAATCAAAAAATACTTATTTGAAACATGTACTTCACCTTTCGAAAACAAAATTCTAAATTTCTTTTGGTAGCGACCGGTAAAACTAATTAAGCCTTCATAGCAAAGAACATTATGTGCATTTTTACATGATTATAATTCACGATTTGTTTTGATCACAAAACGGTTATTTTATCATCATTGATGTGTTGATTGTTCAAAAACTAATAAATGATCACATTTTGTATCACAATAAAGAAGAAAAACCAAATGCGTGAATTCGTTTCACGACAAGTTTTGATTCAAGAGAGTATAGGTATACTAGATATTGGCATAGACGTCATTTTGAAATTTCCTCTTCAGTGGCTGAAAGTTGGCCTGTAATTACATGAATTACAAGTTATGATGCCATCCTTTGGATTGTTCCAGTCATTTGCTATGGTATAAGACAAAGGTTGCAAATTTTCTGCTTTAAAGTTCGAAATTGACCTATCTCTCAGTTTCTCTTGTGTGTCTTTAAAACAAATTTTCAAAACTGCTTCAATATTGCAAGTATACATGATTTAATACGAACGGTTAAAGTAGGTAGTAGCAGGGTGTTGTTGTTTTAGATTTAAAATTAAGCTTTTTTGATACTTGGGTTTTTCTTACATTAGAAAACAAAGGCTGCATTCCAAAGGCTGGTAACACTTGTTTACCCTATCAGCACAACAGAGAGAGGTTGGTAACATTCGTTTACCCTATCAGTACTTGTTTACCCTCTCAGTACAACAGAGAAGTTGGTAACACTTGTTTACCCTCTCAGTACAACAGAGAGCTTGGTAACATTTGTTTACCCTATCAGTACAACAGAGAGAGGTTGGTAACACTTGTTTACCCTATCAGTACAATAGAGAGCTTGGTAACATTCGTTTACCCTCTCAGTACAACAGAGAGAGGTTGGTAACATTCGTTTACCCTCTCAGTACAACAGAGAGAGCTTGGTAACACTTGTTTACCCTATCAGTACAACAGAGAGCTTGGTAACATTCGTTTATCTTATCAGTACAACAGAGAACTTGGTAACATTCGTTTACCCTCTCAGTACAACAGAGAGAGCTTGGTAACACTTGTTTACCCTATCAGTACAACAGAGAGAGGTTGGTAACATTCGTTTACCCTATCAGTACATCAGAGAGAGGTTGGTAACACTTGTTTACCCTATCAGTACAACAGGGAGCTTGGTAACATTTGTTTACCCTATCAGTACAACAGAGAGAGGTTGGTAACACTTGTTTACCCTATCAGTACAACAGAGAGCTTGGTAACATTCGTTTATCTTATCAGTACAACAGAGAGCTTGGTAACATTCGTTTACCCTCTCAGTACAACAGAGAGAGCTTGGTAACACTTGTTTACCCTATCAGTACAACAGAGAGAGGTTGGTAACATTCGTTTACCCTATCAGTACATCAGAGAGAGGTTGGTAACACTTGTTTACCCTATCAGTACAACAGGGAGCTTGGTAACATTTGTTTACCCTATCAGTACAACAGAGAGAGGTTGTTAACACTTGTTTACCCTATCAGTACAACAGAGAGCTTGGTAACATTCGTTTATCTTATCAGTACAACAGAGAGCTTGGTAACATTCGTTTACCCTTTCAGTACAACAGAGAGAGCTTGGTAACACTTGTTTACCCTATCAGTACAACAGAGAGAGGTTGGTAACATTCGTTTACCCTATCAGTACATCAGAGAGAGGTTGGTAACACTTGTTTACCCTCTCAGTACAACAGAGAGCTTGGTAACATTCGTTTACCCTCTAAGTACAACAGAGAGAGCTTGGTAACACTTGTGTACCCTATCAGTACAACAGAGAGCTTGGTAACACTTGTTTACCCTATCAGTACAACAGAGAGAGCTTGGTAATACTTGTTTACCCTATCAGTACAACAGAGAGCTGAGTTACACTTGTTTACCCTCTCAGTACAACAGAGAGAGCTTGGTAACACTTGTTTACCCTATCAGTGCAACAGAGAGAGCTTGGTAACACTTGTTTACCCTTTCAGTACATCAGAGAGAGGTTGCTAACACTTGTTTACCCTCTCAGTACAACAGAGAGCTTGGTAACATTTGTTTACCCTATCAGTACAACAGAGAGCTTGGTAACATTCGTTTATCCTATCAGTACAACAGAGAGCTTGGTAACACTTGTTTACCCTATCAGCACAATAGAGAGAGCTTGGTAACACTTGTTTACCCTATCAGTACAACAGAGAGAGCTTGGTGACACTCGTGTACCCTATCAGCACAATAGAGAGAGCTTGGTGACACTCGTGTACCCTATCATTACGACAGAGAGAGCTTGGTGACACTTGTGTACCCTATCATTACGACAGAGAGCTTGGTGACACTCGTGTACCCTATCATTACGACAGAGAGAGCTTGGTGACACTTGTTTACCCTATCATTACGACAGAGAGAGCTTGGTGACACTTGTTTACCCTATCAGTACAACAGAGAGAGCTTGGTGACACTCGTGTACCCTATCAGTACAACAGAGAGCTTGGTGACACTCGTGTACCCTATCAGTACAACAGAGAGAGCTTGGTGACACTCGTGTACCCTATCAGTATATCAGAGAGCTTAGTGACACTCGTGTACCCTATCATTACGACAGAGAGCTTGGTGACACTCGTGTACCCTATCATTACGACAGAGAGAGCTTGGTGACACTTGTTTACCCTATCATTACGACAGAGAGAGCTTGGTGACACTTGTTTACCCTATCAGTACAACAGAGAGAGCTTGGTGACACTCGTGTACCCTATCAGTACAACAGAGAGCTTGGTGACACTCATGTACCCTATCAGTACAACAGAGAGAGCTTGGTGACACTTGTTTACCCTATCATTACGACAGAGAGAGCTTGGTGACACTTGTTTACCCTATCATTACGACAGAGAGAGCTTGGTGACACTTGTTTACCCTATCAGTACAACAGAGAGAGCTTGGTGACACTCGTGTACCCTATCAGTACAACAGAGAGCTTGGTGACACTCGTGTACCCTATCAGTACAACAGAGAGCTTGGTGACACTCGTGTACCCTATCAGTACAACAGAGAGAGCTTGGTGACACTCGTGTACCCTATCATTACGACAGAGAGAGCTTGGTGACACTTGTTTACCCTATCATTACGACAGAGAGAGCTTGGTGACACTTGTTTACCCTATCAGTACAACAGAGAGAGCTTGGTGACACTCGTGTACCCTATCAGTACAACAGAGAGCTTGGTGACACTCGTGTACCCTATCAGTACAACAGAGAGCTTGGTGACACTCGTGTACCCTATCAGTACAACAGAGAGCTTGGTGACACTCGTATACCCTATCAGTATATCAGAGAGCTTGGTGACACTCGTGTACCCTATCAGTATATCAGAGAGCTTGGTGACACTCGTGTACCCTATCATTACGACAGAGAGCTTGGTGACACTCGTGTACCCTATCAGTATATCAGAGAGCTTGGTGACACTCGTGTACCCTATCATTACGACAGAGAGCTTGGTGACACTCGTGTACCCTATCAGCACAACAGAGAGCTTGGTGACACTCGTGTACCCTATCATTACAACAGAGAGCTTGGTGACACTCGTGTACCCTATCATTACGACAGAGAGCTTGGTGACACTCGTGTACCCTATCAGTACAACAGAGAGCTTGGTGACACTCGTGTACCCTATCATTACGACAGAGAGCTTGGTGACACTCGTGTACCCTATCAGTACAACAGAGAGAGCTTGGTGACACTCGTGTACCCTATCAGCACAACAGAGAGAGCTTGGTGACACTCGTGTACCCTATCAGTACAACAGAGAGAGCTTGGTGACACTCGTGTACCCTATCAGTACAACAGAGAGCTTGGTGACACTCGTGTACCCTATCAGCACAATAGAGAGAGCTTGGTGACACTCGTGTACCCTATCAGTACAACAGAGAGAGCTTGGTGACACTCGTGTACCCTATCAGTACAACAGAGAGAGCTTGGTGACACTCGTGTACCCTATCATTACGACAGAGAGAGGTTGGTGACACTCGTGTACCCTATCAGTACAACAGAGAGAGCTTGGTGACACTCGTGTACCCTATCAGTACAACAGAGAGAGATTGGTGACACTCGTGTACCCTATCATTACGACAGAGAGCTTGGTGACACTCGTGTACCCTATCAGTACAACAGAGAGCTTGGTGACACTCGTGTACCCTATCAGTACAACAGAGAGCTTGGTGACACTCGTGTACCCTATCATTACGACAGAGAGCTTGGTGACACTCGTGTACCCTCTCATTACGACAGAGAGCTTGGTGACACTCGTGTACCCTATCAGTATATCAGAGAGCTTGGTGACACTCGTGTACCCTATCATTACGACAGAGAGCTTGGTGACACTCGTGTACCCTATCAGTATATCAGAGAGCTTGGTGACACTCGTGTACCCTATCATTACGACAGAGAGCTTGGTGACACTCGTGTACCCTATCATTACGACAGAGAGAGCTTGGTGACACTCGTGTACCCTATCAGTACAACAGAGAGCTTGGTGACACTCGTGTACCCTATCAGTACAACAGAGAGCTTGGTGACACTCGTGTACCCTATCAGTACATCAGAGAGCTTGGTGACACTCGTGTACCCTATCAGTACATCAGAGAGCTTGGTGACACTCGTGTACCCTATCAGTATATCAGAGAGCTTGGTGACACTCGTGTACCCTATCAGTACTACAGAGAGAGCTTTGTGACACTCGTGTACCCTATCATTACGACAGAAAGGCATTTTCTTCTGTTTTGTGTCGTAAAAGAGTTGTCCAGTATAAAGACTGATAATTTACCGGTCAAACGCTCCTGTGTATGAACGACAATGTATTAGGAAATATTAATTATATT